TTCGTTACGTACGTACGTAGAACGACGTAACGTAACTAACGTAAGTACGTAGTAGTACGTACGTACGTACGTAGTTAGTTAGTTAGTACGTACGTAACGAACGTAATATACTCTCTCTCTCTCTCTCTCTCTCTCTCTCTCTCTCTCTCTCTCTCTCTCTCTCTCTCGATATATATATATATATATATGACTTACAGATTCCAACCCGAGTCTCACAATTGAGACAAAGATTGAAAACACAAGGTCTCAGTGCCTAAACACAGAGAAGGAACTGAACTAATATGGCACACAATGGACTGTGCCATATTAGTAGTCCATTTGATAATGAAAGTATGGTCGCTGATACCAAGTGCGAGGGACACAGTAGAACAAGACGTGACCCCCATTGTAGGTCCAACTCTTTGGCCAATATCGTCCATCATTTCATTGGATTGTGATCCAAATGAAACTATGAGCATATCATAGCCCATTGAATTACATTATACTTTCTCTTACTTGTATTGATGCAAACAGCAATGAGTTCAGACCAATGAAACTATGAGCATATCATAGCCCATTGAATTACATTATACTTTCTCTTGCTTGTATTGATGCAAACAGCAATGAGTTCAGACCATGAGAAAGACCTTCGTGACACTTTCTAATCCGCCAAGGGGGTTGGAAGCCTTTCCATGAGGTTCTATCTGGACTCCCAGAACCCTGCAGCTCTCTGCTTTTTTGGCGTATGAGGAGTATTAGGATGATCAAGAGCATAAAAGCAACCCCTGTAACAGCAATCCCTAAACCTGGGATCAATGTGAGATGATATGGATGGCTCCGGCTGTTCAAAGCTATCCCATTTGAATGCTGATTGGGAATTGAAAAATATTGGGGACCTGGAGAAGCCTGGGGAGGGAGCAACTGGGAAGATGGCTCAGAAACCACACCTGTAAATACAAGATACAGAACCAAAACTAATGTCCATTGGCCGGTCGAAGCAGTTGATTCCTAATAACATACATATCAATAGATAAGTCTCAATATTCAAGATCATTGCATTTAGGAAACACAGTGAACAACAATTCCTCTTAGATGATATGGATATTAAGGATGATCCAGTTCTCATTCTTCTTCAATTTTCATTCATAGGCATCAAAAAAAGGCCAACTCAATCCACCAGGTGTACATAGTCTCCCATTAAGCAAATCCTAATCTTGTAGACAAGTAACTAACACCCAGTAACATTAATAATAAAAAACTCCTAAAGTCAAAAACTCAATCCAAGTCTAATTGAGTTGTAGAGAGAACTCCATTAGGCACATGAACAAGTTTTACTGTGCAAAACGCGGTTTTGGACTTCGGTTTTTGGAGTTTAAATTAAATACCAGGGTTGATACCAAAATGTAAGGTGGGTTTGTGGTAGTATGTATCCGCTCTATAGACTTGGTTGCAAGTTCAAATCCCACTTTTGCCAAATTGAAAAAATCAAATTTTTCTCCAAATTGGAAAACACAAATAATTGACTTGGATCTTTATACAGGACAAGATGCCCCTCATTTTAAAATTTTTCCTATCGAATTTTAGAGATTCTTTTGGGATTTTTAGGTCCTCTTTTTAGGGATTTTTATGTCTTTAAAAATTTAGGATTTTTTAGTTTTTTTAGGATTTTAGAGACTGTTTAGAAAAGTAGTTAAGTCAATTATAGAATCACTTATTTTATCAGGGGTAAAGTGTCATTACAAATTTTATTTTCATTAGGATTTCTATTTCAATAAGAAGTAGGATTTCTTAGGCTCTAGGTAAGGTCTTTTATTGCAAATAGGGTTGTATTAGAGCTTTTGTTTTAGAGTTGAATATTAACGAATTTAAGAGTCTTGGTTAAACTAGCGAGCTAAGAAGCTTGGCTTGTAAGCTTCCACCATTGCTTTCAATCAAATTTCCAGTTTTTTTATTTATTTCTCTAAATTCCCTTGTACATTAGTCGGTATTAGAGCAGGCCATTCCCAAAGTGCCCAAGGCTAAGATGTAAATTTGTGCAATGGCTGCTAATGGAGGTCAAGTTCGTGATCACAATAGTGACAAAGTTACATGGGAGGAATATTAGCACCATTTGTCATCATCATCAGATCCTTACTCCCACTATTTGGGGTCGGCTACACAAATCATGTTCTGCCATTCTACTCTATCAATGGTCATACAGTAAAAGGTACATTAATACCAATGAATTTTTTCTTTTCCTTCAATGTAAAATTCAGTATTCTAATGGCTAATAACTATGTGATATCCCTCATTGTAATTTCTCATGCACATAAGGGTACAAGAGTAAATTGCTCTTAAACCTAAAACTATATATATATATATATATATATATATATATACAAATAGGTCTCCACATACTAATTAGTAGTAG